ACAATGCTTCGCATGCTTTTTCCCCTTGCAGTAGCATTCTACTCTAACACCATCATTAGTTGTCATTTCTTTTAATTTACGCAATTTGTCTAACTTTATAGCATGATTCTTCGCCACATGATTGCCACACCGCAATACCCGACAAAGTGGAAAATGTTTCAAGACAACATTCTCAGATGTGCTGTCTCCGTCTTGAATGTGGCATTCCACATTCATTTGATCCTTGACCATGAGCTTGAATACCTCGTTAGCACCGAAACCTTCTGCTGCTTTTGATGTGCCTTCATATATGTCATCTTGACACAAATTGTCACTTCCCTTTTGACAAATGTGACAATAATACAAAAGAGCACCAGTCAAGTAATTTCTGACAGTGTATGTGCAGTTTTGGCTAAAACTGCCTCTAGTCAGCCAAACCGCATCGCCACAGGTTACAGCCCTCTGCCAGCTCCCTAATTTTTCCTGATCCATATCTTGCATTTCCTTTCTGGCTTCCAAGCAAATGCCATCTAAAATGTCCTTCACATGGTCACACATCTCTTTTAGTGTCCCAAAAAAAACACTGTCGCTGACTGTATGCATTCCAAGGATGTGGTGAAACATTTTCTTATATATGGCATAAGATGCTCCAGAACAAATTGTAGCAACTTGTAAAATCTTAGATACAGCAGCATCACCATTCTCCCTCTGAGATGAGGTTTCAAATTTGACATTGCAGCTACCACAGTTAGTACAGCCAAAAGAGAGTGATGCTGCTCCCCCCAGGCCGGCCAGTTCTATCGAGTTTACTTTTAGTTTACCTTGACAATTGGTCTCCTGGCAAATTGAATATTGTTCCACAAATTTGACCAACTGTGTAGTCTCTGTGACAACCATGCAATTACTGGAAGCATCTATGTGCAAATTACTCTTGCAAGGAGTATCGAGTGTAAATGTGCAATCAGGTTCACCTGGAGTGGGTTTTTCATCTTCAGTGGCACCAAGAACATTGTCCTCTTCCTCAGAAGGTACTGGTTCTTCAGTATGAATCTATAACAAAGAGAATGGAGTGACGGAACACAACACTTGACGGATAAAACTTCCTCAAAACATGAGGTCAAACATGCCCACTTGTTGTGAGAATAATCATTACTTATTCAGTATTAACAAGAGCAGATGATAGTTAGAGAGAGTGTCAAACTGCACAATGCCAGCTGGAATATGACCACGTAGAACTAAGTCACGTGAGACCTAAAGTGTGGGTGTACCTACTAAAGCACGTGTAGAAGTTTGCATAAGGAACAGTGGAGAACACTTGAAGAAGCTTTAGACATCATACTAGTACACTTTATAATCCTGCTGAAGCCTGTTATGCAGTACAGCTATTGCAGAGACTCCAAAATGGCCAGTAAACCTTGTTGAGCAAACTAGGCAGCCATTTTTTCCTACTCAGCCACACCCAGTATGCGGGAATGCCCAAAGATGTGCAAGAAAGTTCACACGGTCATATTCCAGCTAGCATAGTGCAGTTCGACACTCTCTCTAACTATCATCTACTCTTGGTATTAATGTAATGATAAATTATCTTCGTTAATCAGTGAATAATCCTAGAGGCCCATCATCGAAACATTTATGCCAGTAACTCTGCAGTAACGTGGAACTTTTCCCTGACATGCAAGAGCTACTAATGATATTTTATTTTTCCATGTCATATACAGTAGAAGGCGAAAAAAGATAAGTAGTACACAGGTAGTGCGTAGGTAGTAATTTTACTTCGTTACTCTTCACTGCAATATGCCCAGGAAGTACTGTTGATACCGCCCAGTAACATGTTTCATGTAACAAACGCACATGCACTCTAGAGGCTCTCAAAGGACTTGAGGATGCTTCTCTTGGCTGTCTTTACTCTCCAAGTTCATCTCTACTGCTGCTCTCTGCTTATAGAACGCCGTTGAGGAGGCTCTTTGCTCCATTCACTGTTGAGCTACTGTCCTGCTGCTGTCCAAGTGCACTACTGCCACTGATCGGTTTGCACATGCGCAACGAAGGACCAGCGAACTACAGTTTAGAGAAAAAAAGCTAAGTAACTGCAGCGTCACTACTCTTGCACCGCGCAGTAAAGTACCTTCCACTGCGTAGGATTGACCCTTGTGCTGTGCTTGTATTGCACATGTGCAGAGTAGCTGGTGGGCAGGGTAGTCCTTGCCCACTGCACAGCTACCCTGCACAGCTACTATATACTACTCTTCCAAGGCTACTCTACCGTCTACTACTTATACTAAACGGCACTTACTAGCGCTTGTACTCTACTGGTTTCAAAGAATATGGGTCTAAAAAGTAGCCGGATATCAGTAAATAATGGTTTTATTACTATGTGTAAGGTTCTTCTTATGTAGGAACGGTGATTCTACTGGGCCGTAGCGACAGACTATGACTGTCACAGTGCAATGGTGAACTGTTATTACGAAGTCTAGGAGTTACAATGCATGTTTGTAGTCATTTCTTTTTCTGACTTTTATTTTTGTTCTGAATTGTAAAAAATAATGATATTTTATGTACATGTAAAGCTTATATTAACCCCGTACTTACTACCCCTTTCAAATTGCAAAAATGCGCGCATTTATCTGGTGGACTAGTGACAATGGTGTACTGCACTTACAAACAACAGAGGATTTCACATTCCTTTTGTAAGTTTTTGAGTAAGTATTCACCACTAATTTTACTGTAGCACTGGATGTCAAAGTCTCAGGTGTGAGCAAACTGATTAAGAAATACATGGAAACTGGTTCAATTACTCAAAGGCCAGGTTTGTCAGTATTAATTCCACTACACTTCTCATTATTTTCACATTATAGGATCTAGAAGACCTTCAAAAGTAACCAGAGAAGTTTTAAAGATAGTATAGGACCAAATGCAAGCTGATGATGAAAGCACTGCTACTCAACTTCAGTAGCTTCTCGTTGAGAAAGGTCATTCACTGTCACTGAAAACAATATTGAAGTCTCGCAATACACTTGGTTGGACATACCGTGGCAGTGCATACTGCCAGATCATTAGAGGACCGAATAAAGAGAAGCGAATGAAATTGGCTCAAGATCAGTTGCAGGAGCACAGGACTACTGGTTTTTCTGATGTACTGTACAGTGATGAGTGTACAATTGAATTCGAATCCCACAGGAGATTTTCATGAAGGAAAATAGGTGCCCTCGAAACCAAAACCAAGGTAGCACTATATTAATATTACATGTACGTTAATGGTATTTTTTTAAAACCTATTATATAGAGCAAAACACCCCTATAAGGTACATGCATGGGCAGGTATAAGTTGCCAAGAAAAGACGCCAATTGTGCTGTTTGAAGAAAAAATGAATTCAGCTGGCTTTATTGAAGTTTTGGAAAATGGACTGATTCCTTATACCCAGCATTTAAATCCATCTCAAAGATTGATGCAGGATAATGATCCCAAACATTCCTCAAAGAAAGTAAAGGAGCGGTTAGAAGCCAACAAAATAAACTGGTTGAAAACACCACCAGAATCCCCAGATCTTAATCCGATTGAAAATCTATGGCACGAGCTCAAAGAATATGTCAGGAGAGTAGTGCAGCCACAACGAAAGGAGGAATTAGTCAAAGGAATCATGGATTGTTGGGAAACTGTAAATAGAAGAAAGTGTAGTAAATATATCGGACACGTACGTAAAGTAATATCAAAAGTGATTGAATGCAATAATGGAGGTCCCACTGGATAGAAGAAAGTGTAGAAAATATATCGGACACTTACGTAAAGTAATATCGAAAGTGATTGAATGCAATAATGGAGGTCCCACTGGATATTAATATTTGTACATGTACACAGTAGCTCTTTCGATCTTCTTTCCTTATAAATGTAACATCACATACATGTAATCTATGCTAACAGACTTGTACATTACAGATTGCATGCACTTATAACTCTCTTCTATACCCCTCCCAATCCTTCTCCCTCCCACATGTATTATAATAATTAAAAGCAAAATATATCTTTTATTCATTGTATATCTTTTGCATCTTTATATCATTATATCTAGTATATAATATATATACATGTATAACAACAGTGTCACTGTGTTAGACTATTTACTATCTTATATGATACTATACTCAGTGTAGCCTTCTACTCTAGATTCTTAATATCAGGTGGATATTTGCTTCTAAGCCCTGAAGAGTAATGATTTATTGCTTGAATACACTTAGACCAATACAGCTAAAATTCTTCCTTTGTACTAATATCACGTGGATGGAATAATCCCAGTAGCTTCTGCTTCAGCTCCATTAGAGCACCAGATGGCAAAGGAGGGTTCTCCTTCTGCCCATACACACTACATTTAATCAAAAGTGATGGTCCAAAGTAAACTTTGCTTGCTAGTCTTACAGATGATTGTCCAACTTGAGAGAGTGTCTTTAGTTTGGGATATTTATTAATCACAGTATCAGGATTCAACAAAGGAGCATTACAATCTATTTTCCTTCTATTACCAGTGTGCACAGTAGTATTGGTGATGATTGCCTTTACTGGCTCATTAGTTGGAGTTACTGGATCAGTATGCTGAGGTAGATTACAAGCAGATGGGGCACTAGGAGTACTTCCATTACTGTTCATGTATGTAGCAGAGTACCTGCCTAGAATATTAATAGGATATTACTAATCTCTAATAATTATTACTGAATACTAACCCTTGTGTTCATGCTAGTATTTCCAAAGAAATGGTATGTTAAGCAACCCAATTGGGATGGCACCATGATACTCTGTTCTTCTAAAATTTCCATTCTTCTAATTAGAGACAGTATATA